AAACGTGTCGAGATTACACACTGCACTGTCATTGTTCAACTCCCGCTTGGAGTGTTGATAAGACCTATGCGAGGTCGAAACTGCAGTCCACTTCAGCCGGGATGAGATCACCCTTGGGGCTATGTGAAACTGAATGGAAGACATCAGCTCTACTCATATCATACCAGCCCTTCATCACCTTAAACTAAATAGGGTAAACACAACTCATAGAAACAACTCCTCACATTGTAATTCCTTCAGACGCATCATGTCTTACTTGCGTCGACCATATCTCACCATTGTTCGTTTCTACGCCAACGGTCTGCCTGATATAATCACTTGTGGAAGGTCCCGACGCTCATCCCAGCTTCAGCCTATAGTTCGTCACCATGTCGCCAAATAAGTCGATCACTCTCCTGGACGTCAAACACTCGAACCCTCCAACATGTGCTGGGTATGCCTACACCACTTCTTCCCTCTTCTGGATCCGCGATGGTGCAAGTCAGTGTCTATGTCCCAGGCAAAGTCATCTAGCGACCGTTTCGTTAAATTTACGTCTAAAGGACAACATTTGCTGCGAAAAAGCAGTGACTTTGCCACAGGACCGACTTCAAATCACCGCTACTTCTCCGCGTAGGGCATCCGAATCTCTTGATCTAGCATATGGATGTACTTGTCCTTATGTATGGATTCTCGTTCTAAAGATGTCTGTCACATGATGGACGAGAGATTATAATGGATTGATATGGTTCATAGGACGGAGAGCCGAGGACTTCTTCGCAGAATCCAAAAGTCTTTACTACACGTCAGTCAATCTTCCTTCCTTGGGACCATTTCACGAATTACCTCTACCTACTTTTCTTTCGAGATGAAAGGTTGAGTCACACTGAATTACTAAGGAAGTCCTCGATACCCAGCTCACCTTCATATACAAGAGGAGCAGGCCTGATAGACCTCGAGCATGGTTTGGGCTAAATCATGTTAAATGGCTCATAAGTATTGAATAAAAAGAACTAAAATTCATCCCCAAGCCTGAAACAAGCGCCAGTACTGAAGAAGCATTGACCAGTTTTATTACATAAGGAAACAGTTGTGACGACATCCGCTCCTTATTCATGCATCAACTTTACTCGTCTCCATACATGTATGGTAAACATACTTTAGACCCCCAAATCATGGGATGCCTCATTAAGATTTCAAG